GGTGCTCCCGCTCCTCCCTCCACCACCGTGACAGTGCTCCCACTCCTCATGACGGGGCTCCCGCTCCTCCCTCCTCCACCGTGAGGGGGCTCCTGCTCATTCCGCTCATCAAACAAGGGGAGTTTTGTGAGAGTTTAAGTGGGAAGTTATTAGGCATCCACCTTGCAGGCCTGATTTGGTTATTTTTGTTTTCTAATTTTAAAAAATCTTTAAAGGGCATCCACTTTTCTTCAGTTAATAACAGCAAAGACTGAATTGACATGGTTAAATTCCCAGGATGCTCAGTTCTTTAGGGATGAACTAAATGGCTGTACCATTTACAAAAGTGTCTTGACCTTGATGGAGCTCATGCTGAGAAATAAACTTATTTTTAAATTTTTATCTTTTAATTCAAATTTTCTGTGAACTTTTGAATTCTGTGAGCTCCCCTGTGTTTGTTTTGGGTGGAACTTTGAGTCTGGTTTCTCAGCTCTCCGTGGATGGCTGCATCTTGAAATGAAAGCCATGTTGCTCTCTACTTGGCCCAAGTTTCAGATGTTGAACACACACGTGGGCGAATTTATGAATCTGTGCGCCTGTGCCAGCTAGTGGGTGAAGTCTAAGTTTCTTCAACAGAATTGGTGATCTTCTGCCTCCCGGGATGTGGTAGGAAAGGCTGAGGACAGACAGCCATCCATGGTGCCTCCAGCACTGAAATGCACCCCTATGTGTGCCCCACTGCCCCCCATGCTGAAGAGTCCTTCACTCCAGGGATGTCTTCACCCCAGTCATTCAGACTCCCCCAGTGTTCCTGCGTCACCTGAACGGTCGGAAGCATCTGAGCACATGCTCTCCATGAGTGGTTGGGCTTCCCTCCCCATCAATGCTGAAGCCCTCAGGGCAGAGGGGAGTCAAGGAAAAGAGTGGCCATCAGCCATCAATGAGTTACAAGGTTTGATTTCAAAGAGAAAAACTTGTTGCCAGAATCACTACCAGGAGATCTTGCTCTGAATGTGAGCTGCAGTGCCCTTGAGGGGTCGAACTGCACCTGATCCCCACCCTCCCATCCCAAGACCCCTGGCAAGTCAAACCAAGAGGTAATCAACAAAACAAGTTTAATGCAACAGGTTACAACGGTGTGGAGTGAGTCCATGCTCCAGAAGGCTCAGTTCATGCAGTCCTGTGTCAAGGCAGGCTGAGGCCAGCTGCAGTGGAGGCCAGCAGCAGGAGGGCGGTCAGCCCCAGCCTGCCACAGCTCCTCTTACTGGAGCTCTCAACATAGTCTTTGAACACTGATAAGTTCACAGACGGCCCGTTTAAATTGCAATAGCGAACTTTACAACACTTGAGGTAAAAGAAGGGCATGGGCTCTTCCAGGAGAAACGGCTTCTGCGCTGGCTTGGGTCGCTCAATCGCTGCACAATAAGCAGAGCACTGCTTTGAAATCAGGAAAAAACGTGGAAATATTTCTAATAGGAAATAAAGACAGAGAGAAGGAAATTACACAATTCCAATGGCTGACACCGAGGCCTTTCTGTCTTGGTCAAGCCCTTTCCCCTGGCGGCCCTGCTTAGAGGTGCAGGGGTGTCAAGGAGGGGTCAGGAGCATGAGGGCCAGGCCTGGGTGTTGAATGCTGCTTTGGGGAGGGGCTGGCTTCTGCATGGTGTGGCCTGTCCACGTGCACTGGGAATGTGGGTCTAGGGGTCGCTGTTTGGGAACACACAGGTTTCAACTTTTCAAACACAGGGTTGGCTCAGGCCTTTGTGACCACAGACAGACACATGACCCCTGGCCATCCTGGCCATCACCCAGGGCATGGAGCTGGCCTCTCAGTGGCCTGGCTCAGCTCTGAGCTGGGGGTCTTGTCTCATGACCACATTTCATCTTCCACATCATTGTACTAATCATTTTACCATATTATAAAGTCAATGTTGGCTACACCGAGTCTGAAGCATCGCCTCAGTGCCCCGGCAGCTTTGTTGATGCCAAAGGGCTGGAGAGCAAACGCTGGGTGGAATCCGAATTCACGAGCCCTGAAGATGGCCCTGTGGGCAGAATGTGCTGGGAGTCCAGATGCCCCGTGGGGAGGGCTTCACGTTCCCACAGGTTTTCAGGGGACTCACAGATGACAGAGCAGTGGTCTCCACAGTTGTTAAGGCACGCTGCCTCCTCTAGAACACACCTGAAGGCTGTGCACCTGAGTTCTGTGCATCTCTTGTGAGAGTGATGCGGGCACTGCTCTCGGTGGGGCACTTAACATTATTAAAGTTTTCTCCATTTAAAAATGGATGACATGAAATCCGGATCTTCTTTCTGCCTCCCAGTATTTCATCTGGACCCACTACAGCGGGCACTGCCTTACACTGGCGCAGTTCCTAGGGACTGAGCCCCACCTTACTCTCCTTCACCTCTTCCTGGCCTCTCAGGACTTTGCTCTTCACATTTTATTGGGGGGGAAAAAGGCTACTTTCTATTAGTTATTCCCTATTTAGGGAAACTAGACCTGATTCCTGAAAGCCCTCTATTCACGTGCCTCGGGGTCCCCAGCAAGAGCGAGGATACTCACTCACGGCCGCTAGCACGCAGTATGTCTCTTCCACTTTGCACATCCTTGGGTTCTCACATTCGAAAGTGTTTTCTCTCTCACAAACGTGACACCAGATTCTATCCTCACCTACGTCTGAAAGGAGACATAGAAAAGCAGAATGTTCTAGTTCTCCATGCTTATCTCATGAACATAGCTGGCATCCAAGGCAGCACAAACTCGGGGGTCCCCTTCTTTCCCCCTCTGAGCAGTGGCTGGGGCCACATCCTCCCTGACTCGGAGTGAACCACAAAGGGAGAAAGCAGGAGGGGTCTCAGGCCATGAAGAAACGCCCGCTTCCTCTTCGCCTTCCTCCATGACTAGAAGCGTCCCGAGGCCCCCCTAGAAGCCAGCACCACGCTTCGTGGACAGGCTGTGGAACTCTGAGCCAATTAGATCCTCTTTTCTTTATAAATCACCCAGCCTCCGGCCTTCTCTATGGCCCGAGTGATTTTTCTTCTCTCCCGGGGGCTCCCCACCCTCCCACAAAGTGTCTCCCTCAGGCTGCATGTCCAAGCACAGCATGAGCGCACGATGCACCCCCACTCGGCCGCGGCCCCCTGACCCCAGGCCCCCCGCATCTCCCAGCCAACAGCTGCGGAAGAGACCCGGGGGGCTTGGGTCTGATCCCACGTGCGCCCCGCCCCACCCCGCCCACCATCCAGTCCACCGACCTCCCAGGCCCCGCATCCCGACTCCTTCAAAGAAGTCCTCCCTTGGGTCTGGGTTGGGCCTGGCCTACCTCTGCCAGGGGAGTCCTCCTCCCGCGGCTTGAATGGTTCTCAGCCCCAGAAAGCCGGGCTGGGGGCCGGGGGAGGGGCGCCTCCAGCCCAAGGGCTCCCAGGGAGGCTCGGCCAGGAGCAGAGCAAGGGCTGGGAAAAGGCCGGGCTCAGGCTATACCGCTGCCCTGGGGGAAGCCACAGGAGGCGAGGCTCCCTGGAGGCTTCCAGGCACCGTGGGCCCCCTGTGCTCCCTGTTCTCGCGGCCCAGTGGGGGCAGCGGCCACGCGGTGCTGGGCAGATACCACCTGGCCCATCCCCTCGGCCCGTCGCCTTCCCCCCCCACCGCCCCCCCCCCCCCGCCCATCCCCTCGGCCCGCCCCCCCCCCCCCCCCCACGGCCCATCCCCTCGGCCCGTCGCCTCCCCCCCACCGCCCATCCCCTCGGACCGTCGCCTCTCCCCCCCCACCGCCCATCCCCTCGGACCGTCGCCTCCCCCCC